TAATCAGAAAAAGTGGGTAACATATAACACCTAAATTATGGAAGCCACATGGATTGTCAGTTTGTTTTGAATGCAATTCAAGGTATTGGTGATCAACATCATGTCCCTAACATGGTTATGGATTAGGCCAATCAGTCGTTTTATTTTAATCACTAACCAACAAAAGGGTCAGACTAGAAACTTTGCACCACAAAAATAGGTTTGCTATCCCTACATGTTTATGACAAATTGACGCTTGAAGGCATTTTCTGCAGGCGCTCAACTACAGAACATCCTCCACAAAGATGAAATATTGAAGTTTCACTTTCAATATTTAAATACCTTTTAAAAAACATGGTCTTTTAAAGGTATTGGGGCAAGAATGGATAATGTACCTGAATCTAGCTGTTTTGATATTGTACAATACTATGCTTTAATTATTGTATTATTGATACTGAGTATATTTATTACTTAATATATTTCACACAGTGATTACTTGATAGTTATTGTTATGCTATGTATTACATATTGTCGCTGGAAATGCTCAGTTAGATAACAGAAGCAGCATAAAAACATACCTAGTACCCAACTGTTTAAGATTTACTAAGTTTCAATTGCCATGCAAAGGGAATATAAAATGTAACCAAAATATAACTGCATTAAGAAAAAAAATTAAGAGAAAATTATAACAGAACCCCATATTGTAAAAGAATATAGAACTGACACTTATTTTCAACTTTTGCCTAAATTCTTAAAATCTAATGTTTACAGTTAAACAAATGTGCACACTTCTCCAATTGCCATTTCCTAGATTTATCATTATCAAAAATACATGTGCAATTGGGTGAATGCAAAAAATGGCTCTCTTTATAGAGTGCTTTCTAATGAGATTAAATTAGGAATGTTAAGAAAACTAATCACAGCATGTAAAGCAATTTCATTTTCACTGACATAGGTGGATTTGTTAGACTAAATTACAGTACATGTATTAAGGACTATCATTTCCATTTGTTATACAATGTAGGAATTTCATTTTTGCTACATGCCAATTAATTCACATTTCAATGCACTTTGAGGGATTTGGTTATATTTAGAAGTAAAAAATTGCTGGCATGCATTATTATAGATTGCTACTAAATCAGAGTGTATCTAAAACTGCTGTTAGGTCACCAATTGTTTCCAAAACCTTATGCTGTCAAAGATAAAATCATATATTAGTGTTCACTCAAACGTCAAATAAATTTTCATTATCTAACTTTATCTGAAATTTCATCACAAAAAGTGTGATCCTATATATTGCTAGGTTTTATAATGCTCAAAATTATTAATTAAACAGAAGAATTCCTATCATACTGTACTAAAATCATATTTATATTAATTCAAGGAAGCTATTTTTCAGAAACAAAAACATTTTATTTAAATTAATATGAAATTACTTGTTTGTTGAAAATTGTACAATAGTAATAACATCTTAGCCTTTAATATAATAAACTCCAATTTTTAAATCAATTATTGACAATCTAACCTTCCTTACACATCAACCAATACTATAATTAACAATTAATCCTAGGAATTAAAGATGATGAGTTATTTACTAGGCAAGACTCTCCATTATATATCATGAAATATTTTAAAAAGTATCCCAGACCAAGATAGATCAATAGGTTATGATCACACATACATGCTTCCACTAGTGGAATGAACACCATTAAGAGGATTGACTTCTGCTCAGATGGACTAAATCAGGGCTGCCAAACTGGGGACCCAGAGGCCGGATGTGTCACGCACCGGCCACGCCCACCCCAGTTCCACAAAGACAACAAACATCGCGATACATCACGATTCATCACATGATGTTTGACTAAGTGGTATAGGTCAAAAAGTTTTTTAAAAGCTGTAATTTCAGCTGTGCGAGCTAAAATCTACTCACATGAAATTGGATCTAGTGTAGTGTAGTTCAAGTAATCAAAACTTGATTTAATTTTAAACCATAAAAAATTAATATGGTTCTGTTGACTCATAAAGCTCTAATAAACGTTCTGTTTACCATTTTGTGAACAAGTAAAAATAGAGAAAAATCTCTGTCTTTGCAGATCAAGGATTATAGCTTGAAGCAGTGGATTCAAGTTTGTTCTTATCAGAATATTCCATAAGCAGAGTGTCAGCCAAACATTCCAACTAATAAAAAAAAGAGGGAAAATTATTTTCATCAATTTCCCTCTGTAATGTCTGTACTATCCTTAAGCTGTTATAGAACATCCCTAAATCCTGTGGAACAGATTTTCAGGGGGCAGAGAAACCTGGAAAGGAGGAGAAATGGTGGAAGGAAACTGGCCTCTTACATCAGCAGAAATGTTTTATCAGGCAGTGCTGCAATGGATAATAGATCCAAGCTGCATTACTTTATATTTAACATGCATTTATTGGGCTTCCTCGAGGTCTTACCCTGTCCCATATACAATGCTACCATCTAGGAAATGGTATTTACCACATATACAGAACCACTCACCCAGTACATATCCATTTTTCCATATGCTTTCCAACTATCCAGAGTTACACAGTAGGTTTATTTCTCAGATTGCAAATTATTCTACCAACATTTAATATTTCTACCCAATAGATAGAAGCCCTTTTCTAAAAAGCATTTAAGATTGTAGCCCTACGCAGTCTTACATAAGGGGAGTTCCTGTGAGCTCAGTGGTCCATTTACATAAATGTGAATAGGATTGCAAACATGAATAGGATTGCCCTATCAAAATGTAATCCTGCACTTGCCTAAATCACATCAAACAAAAGTCCATTAATTTCAGATCCCATTCCCTTCTGTATATAGTTCTGTGCAAAAAATGCAATTGAGTTGCATAATATTAAAAATGTGAAATGCTGCATAACACCTATACAAACATATTAGATCAGAAAATATGAATCACATTTTCACTTTTCACACTTAAAGAATGTGTAGAAGTAAGTATGGTTACAAAGTACGTTCTAGTATACAGGTTTACTTCTCAGTGAAAAAGTATCAAGAGAATCCCAAGGCTCTGAGCTAGATTGGGAAGGTGACAGCCACACTGATGACAACAGTTGCAAGCTATAGACATACTGTTGCCAAGAAAATGACAGAAACATATCAAAAAAGTCATCACGAGTTATGTTCCACTTGAAAGAAAATTTACTTTTTTCTAGTTAACAGAGTTGCTTCTAGACATTATGAACAATATTAAAGGACCTGTATTAATGATCTAGAAGATAAATAATACAAATTGCTTTCCTTTTTATTTTTTACAGCATTACTACAAAATCAGGATCTCATTATGTTTAGGGTAAGCATGAGGGTCGTCCCCCCATTTTAAGATTAGAAGTATGAAAACCAAAGTTCTTTCTCCACAATTAGAATGTATGAATATAATGAAGTGACACTGGTAGATGGAATGTTTTATTTTTGTCACTTTTATTATTTTCATAAATAACTCAAGGCAGCAGACATGGCTAATACTCTTCCACTTACTCACAACACCAACTCTGTGAATGACTGGCCCAAACTCACCCAGCTGACTTTCATGGCTAAGGCAGCGGTAGAATTCAGAATCTCCAGGTTTCTAGCCTGGTGTCTTAACCATTACACCAAACTGCCATCGTTTTTATTGGTTTTGTATGGCACATACTGGAAAGTAGAAATACACAACCCTGTTCTAATTCCTACCATATCAAAAGGTAGGAATTTTAATTTTAATTTTTGCTCTTTGATAGAATAAGTTTTAGAATAAATTGATTTTATGCAAACATGCTTAAGAACCATAATGTGCATTGTGTGTTTATCAAGCGCACATCCTAATTGGCTGGAATTTATTGTGTGACAATCAATCATGGCTTTTCGGTAAGCCACATTTTAAAAAGTAATTTTTAGCATATTTATTTATTTATTTAGCGCATGGCTGGTCACACACAATATTAAAACACTTCATTTTTACAGGTTAAAACAATTAAAACAATTAGAAAAAGAGCAGTAAGAAAACCTAAGAGGAAAACAGAAATAACATTTCAGAGTTTAATGTCGAGTTTGGAGATCCAGTCAGTAGCTGTCGTCCTTACGTTGTCATTTTAGCATAAAAAGACCCTGAACTCCTTCGTTATTGTATGGCATCTTATATACAGAACAGATACAGACTGCTAAAGCTTATAATCATTCACTATCATGCATAGCTAAGCAATTCAACAAAGTTTGCCAACAAAGTGTAGCTAAACTTTAAAGAATACAATTATACAAACTGAAGTTTAAGTCTCTGAGCTAGCGGTCTCCCTAATAATTTACACAATTATTAGGGAGATGGCAACAGTTATGAAATACATGCACCACATGCAGCAGCAAACATTTCATAACCAATACACACTGTTCATTAAGAGTGCTTGTCTGCCTCTCTTCCTTCACACTTCTCTGCTTCAAAGTTTGAACTCTAAACTGAAAAGGGGCATTTCAAATATTTCATTTGGAGGCTGGAGAAAACTTCAGACCTAAGAAAACTTCCTCATCTGTTGTTTTAGCTAAACGTGTTTTGTTCACCTTTTTTATTTCTTTGGGATTCATACCCCGAGAGGATCTATGTAATAGATTAAAACCCGGGGCCGGTGCAACTCCTTGTAGAACTGAGTCATTTTCTTATGGGGGGGTGGGGGTGGGGGCAGGGTTTGTCGGGGAATCACGCTAACAAAACCGAATTATTTCATTTATAGAGATGTGACAGGACCCCCTCCCCCCAGGGCTTTTCGACCCTCTTTCCCAATCGCTTTCCAAAGCTTCTCCAGATCAGTCTCCCTTCCCCAGCCAACACCCGTGACCCCCATCCTCGCCGTCTTAGTAGTCCTGCTATAAAATAAAAGGAGTTTTGTTTCCCCACCCCGACACACTTCTGACAATCACATTCACACACACACATATACAACCACGACTTTCAGACGGCACCATCTGCCGCCTCCCATACGGCCCCCTAAGCCAGCATTACTTTCCCACGGCCGAGGCTTACCGAGCTTCCCGCGGGATTCCTCCAGTTTCTGAATCTGATTCTCCAGGAAAAGGACGGACACCCCGAACGCCATCACCGCCAAGAGCTGCAATTTAGGCGGCAACATAATCCGGAGCAGCCCCATCGGCGGCTGCAGCGGCAGCAGCAGCAGCCGCCACCGCCGCCACCTGAGCACCGCCGCCGCCGCCTCCCTGGTTTCACACGTCCGCCCGGAGATCACGACATCACGCGGGGCGCTGACAGGGGGAGGCCGGGTGGTGGTGGTGGTCGGGGAACAGCCTCTGCGGGAGACAAAAACGGCGGCCGCAAAACGAGCGAGGGAAAGCCCGGAGCCGGCGAGAGCTCGCGGTGGGGGCGAGAAAACCAAAAACCAACCCTGGGCTTCTCACATTCCTCGCGACAAAGCCTCGCGACGGCACACGCCCACCCGACCACCAACCGCCTCAGATAACGGCTCAGTCCGTCGGCCCCGCTCCTCACACGGTCCCAGGCACGCGCCCGGCCACCCCAGCCACCAATTTGCGTGCGCTGCTCAGCAACCGAACGCCCGGCCTTACTCACGCCCCTTTCGCTTACCTCCCCTCCCTCACCGACCAGCCAGAATACAGGTCCCGCCCCAGACTCTAAAGGCCATTGGCTACCGCTCCCCTTGTCCTTCTTCGGTTGGTTTATGCATCCCATCCGCCCGCCTACCGAAGCTTCCTCACGTAACTGGAAAGGAACTGAACCGACACCCCTCCTTATTCCCTTTTTACCTACTGATTGGACAACGTTATCCCGTAGGCCTAGCGACTTTCCCTTAGGGTATTGGATGCGGCGGTAAAGGAGAATGCTAATGTTCCGCTAGGCCATTGGTCTATTGTCTTGTCAATCTCTAGGAACCGTTCGATTGGGAGAGCAGGGAGCTCTATTCCGAAGCGTCCCAAAAAAGTGCCTGGGGAAAAAAAAGGTGCGAGTGGTCTTTGAAGGCACGTAAATTGTTTCTTGCAAATTCCAATATGTTCTTTCTCTCCCCGATTTTTTTCTACGCTGGTCAGTTTCATGTGAATGGGAGAACTGTATAGATATTTTCTTTGTTCCAAGCAGGCAGTACTTAAGACATCCTGTCGGTATAGGGGCCTCATCGATGGAATGTCTGAGCTGTCCGTCAGTGCCAACATGGCGGTTCGAGAGGGAGCCATGGGGCTCGGCCGTTACTGGCTTTGGTTGCTAGCGACGCTGCAGGCGGTAAGAAGCCCCGTTAGAACAAGGAGAGTAGAGACGATGAGCTTAGGGAGCGGCCAAAGGGGGACTTGAGGCGAACCTATTTATTATTTTTACTCTCTATTCCTTCGACTTTCCGGTCGGGTCGAAAAGATTCCAATATGAAGATGCATTTGGGGTATTTTTTTTTTTAAAGTAAAACGTTGAGCTGGATACAGTCTTCGCTATACTTCAGTTAAACCCATTAAAATGAGCGTAAAGGTTTGTCATGAGTTTACTCGAATAAGGATGCTAAACCTTTTTTCAGTATCATTATTTCGGTGTTCGCCATCGACTAAACTGGGCACTTCCCCATTTTTAATTTTTAGTCTTGCTACAGAACGTATTGGGGAGGGGGGGATTAACTTGAATACAGATGGATACTTTGGAACAGATGTCTTGGAAGTCAAGCTAATAGAACTTTACGTAATCAATTAGATTTATTTTTATTCGTGTCCTTAATGTGTGCATAGGTAGTCCTCAACCTACGACCACAGTTGAGCCCAAAATTTATGTTGCTAAACGTTGAGAAATTTGTTAGTGGGGTTTTGATCCATTTTACGACTTTTCTTGCTGCCGTTGTTAAGTGAATCACTGCAGTTGTGAAGTTAGTAACACGGCTGTTGAGTGAATCTGGTTTCCCCATTGACTTTACTTGTCAGAAGGTCGTAAAAGGGAATCACATGACCCCCGGGGTACACTGCAACTGTCATAAATGTGAATCAGTTGTCAAGCATCCAAATATAAATCATGTGATCGTGGAGATACTGCCATGGTTGTAAGTGTGCAAAATGGTCATAAGTTACTTTTTTCAGTGCCATTGTAACTTCAAATGGTCACTAAGCGAACTGTTGTAAATCAAGGACTACCTGTACCTCCCACCATTCCCAAAAACACTCTTTGAAGTGATTACATCTTTAATTTCAAGACTAAAATCACATGCATAGTTTCTACTTCTTTGTACACAGTATGTTTGCTCCATGGGACTAGATGGCTTATAGATGAGTAGTAAAAAAACTACTAACAGCTGGTTAAAACAAAAATAAAAAATCCAGCCAATTATATATAGGAACTGAAGCTATAACAATGGCATTAAAAGGCTTGGGAAATAAATAAAACAGCAATTCTAGAGTTTTGTGACTTGACACACCCATTCTAGGAGCCTTTGTAACGGTAAATCTCCCATCACCAGCATAGTAGCAATTTTTATGGCCACTTATACTATTTTTTTACCCTTGCTTACTGTGGGGAGGGGGGGTGTTAGTGGAAATGTTTGTAATGGCAAATTTAAAGCTCCATATTCAACAGAACAACCTTCCTGGATGACTTTCATCTACTCGCTAGCCCTCAACCCAGTTTGACTTGCAAGGCAATTACAAAAATAAAAAAGCAGTTGACCTCCTGTGGGGAACAAGATAAACATTTAATTGCTAAATTAAGAATTTAACACCTCTGCACAAATTCATGTTACCATTGTGAAAAGTTGAGCTTTGCAATGTATGATGCCACAAGCTGATTCTCAAACCACTATGAGCTTTTAGCTCATATATTGAGCAAAACTAAAAGGGAAGTACAGATTGCAAATCTGTCAAACAGGATAAATGCAATACTTCCTGTGTCAATAATCCTCACACAGTAAATTAGTAAATATGCTTCCCTTTTACCTGAGTCCTCTCAAAAAGAGTAATCATAGGTTTTCTGGTTTACAGTGGAAATGGACAACCTTGAAACGATGGCATTTAGAAATTCGTACTATGGACACTGAAATGTTACAAATACCTATGATAAAGGAATTGCGTAAATCTTATTTGATTTCAGATATCTGCTTATGGAGCAGAATTATCATCAGAGGCTTGCAGAGATCTTGGCTTTTCCAGCAACTTGCTGTGCAGTTCTTGTGACCTTCTTGGCCAATTTGGCTTGAATCAGTTGGATCCATTCTGCAGAAAGTGCTGCCAAGAAGAAGTTCAATCTGAAATTAGAAAGGTAGGTTTCATCATCATGTTTAAATATCTTAGCTAAAATGTGTTTTAACTTCCCTATGATATAATATTATTTATGCTGAAACTTTTTATTTAATTTTAATACTGTAATTTATGGCAACAAAAATTTGTTGACATCATTTGTTAAGACATACTGATTTTCCTAATACTTCAAGGTCAAACATGCCAGCAGTCTTTCTGTATTTGTATCAGGGACACTGTTAAGTTTGAGCAAAATGAAATACAATCAGTTAGTTGTTAGATTAAATACAATCAGCTGAAGAGAAAGCTGAACAGATTCCAGTTGTTAGCATATCAAGAGTACATTGCTGTTTATGGAAATGTTTGTAGATTTTGTTAAATAGATAATTATATTTACTTTAAAATACAAAATACCAGTTCCTCAGGGTAAAAACCAACTATTCGTTGATATTGTAATAAATATATGTGTTTACTGTGCATGTTACAACAGATTTAAAAAGTATTTTTCCTATCTGAAGAAAGGAAAATATCTGTTGTATTTCAGAACTGGATATTTCCATTATGGCTTATAATGAACTATTTCTGTGTAACTGTTCTTGCTGCCATTCAGGAGAAGCCAACTATTTATATGATTACTGGTAATAGTTCTCCCATCCGTTTGAAATTGAAATGTATTGTTTTCATTCTTAAAGCATCCTGTGAGTAAAAGCATCATCAGATGCCACATAACTAAATGCAATTAAAAACATAATATTTATTAGTACAGTAATGAAATATTTGCAGAAAAGTAATTTATCTTGTGCTGAACCAGAGTGATAAGAATGCCCAGTTCATCGTAAAGAGGTTTCTGAAAGAATTACAACCTATCTTCCCACATCATGAAGGGTAAAAACCCTGGGATAATTTCCAATTTGAACTATTTTATAGTCTGTTAATTTTCTATTTTTAATATATAGGTTCATAATATTCATTATCATGGCAGTGCCTTCTGCTTTGAATAGTATGCTAAAATCACTGCATGTGGTTGAAGGGACACAGCTCCCTGCACAGGACAGAAAAAAATTTTAAGCCTTGTCTTCCAGATAGAAAAGGTGGCATAAATTTTATCCTATTGATCCATTTTTCACTGACACCAAAGGACTTTACAGTAAATTATTCTCCCACTCCCACTCAATTGTTGCCATATTGTTCTTGCGTAGAGAGGCATTGTTTTTTCTCATAAAGTGAATGCTAATCTATGAGCTCTGTTTCTTTTTCCCTATATAAATTGTGTGTCAAGCAGCACAATCAATTACCAATCAAGTTGATGATAGCAAGTGGAAGTGTAAGGAAGAGGCTAGGGATTTTTTTGATGACCTTTTAACAATAGCACTCCGACTTTACAGCACTCTCTGGGAAGTTTACAGTGTCTGCATATTGCCCCCAACAATCTGGGTCCTCATTTTACTGAACTTAGAAGGGTGGAAGGTTGAGAAACAATCCTCGACAGAATTGAACTCCATGCTGTAAGCAAAGTTAGGCTGCACTACTGCTTTCTAACCACTGCATCACCAGGACACATTTGTTTTGTTTTGTTTTGTATTGTTTTCTTCTTGGCTCAACTCTGTGGACCTCCTCATGGAAGAATCAAATCATCAAATCTAGTTTGATGAGAAAAGTATCTATTGAATGCTAATTTAATAAAGTTAACAGAATGAGGCAAACATCAAGAGAGTTCAGAGCACAATTAACACAATTTAGATAAGAGAATAGATCAACAATGCATTGTTTCATTACTGTGATTATCATTTTTATTGAGACATATGCATACATGAGAAAACATGATGTTGAATGGATTTGTTTATAGATGAGGATGGGATATGGGATGAAGAGATAATTGTAACCTTAGATGTGGTAGAGTGTAAAATTTGTTTATACTTGTGATGAATATTGGAAGTTATCTTTGTATATATTTTATATTTCTTTTTCTTACTTTTCCATTTCCTCTCTTTCTTTTTGCTTTTCCTTTGCACTTTATCCTTTCTTTACTCTTTCTTTGAATTTAGTTTGTATTAGATTTTATGATTATAATTTTTATTTTTATTAAATTTTGATATTCTTATATAAAAAAATCATTCATGGAAAACAGCTATTAATATAGCTTCAGGTACTAGCTAGTTTATTGTTATCTCTATATAGTATTATAATTCTTCCAGCAGTATCTTTCTTTTAATCCTTCTACTTGACTGCATTTAAAACTATCCCTAATGTATTAAACTGGATTTTAACACATAATAGTATTCAAATAATGATATCAAATCAAATCAGTGCTAAGCAGTTGTATGCCCCTCAGTAATAATTATTGAAAAACCATGTCTTCGTGAGATCTATCCAGTGAAGCTATTCAACAGTCGTGATCACTACATTGTGAAGCTAGTTAACTGTGCTGTCCACTTACATAATTTTTAGTTAAAATTATCCTATCCCCTCAGTCAAAGGAATCTGGTGCTGACAAATATATTTGTAAACTCTTTTAAAAATATATTAATGATATACAGGTAGTATTCAACTTATGACCAATCACTTAGGGACTGTTCTAAGTTACATCTAACCTCAAAAAGGGGACTTAAACCCGAATTTTAAAAATCCAATGGTCAGGCCCCTTCCACCATCACATGACCAAACTTCAGGCGCTCAGCAATACAGCCTCCTTCATGACCATTTGCAGCATCCCGTGGTCACATGACTGCACTTTACGTCATTTTTGCAAAAAAAAAAAAAAAAAGTGGCACTTCCAATTTTCAGCAAAAGCATCTCCATGCTTAATCATTACAGTTCATTTAACAACTGCGGTGATTCACCTAACGACTGCTGCAGAAAAAGTTATAAAATCTGATTGGTCACATGACCAGCCCATTTTACAACCGGAACCACCTACATAATAAGCAGGCTCATTACAATTGTACGTCAAGGACTATTTTTAGTGTACATTTTATTTTTTATCTGAATTATTATAATGTAATTTTAATGTATTTTAAATTATACAGTGAAAAGGTGGTTTGGAAAGGCAACATAAACCTTTTAAGAATAAGCACCACCATCCACCCATATTTTAGAGCAGGATGTAGATTTCATAGTTTAAAATGTTGACAGATATCGCAACAGATGTTTTGATGGATTAAACCCTTTTCATAATATACTTATTTAATCATTGAGCAATTTTGAGCATGTTGACCTTTATTCCTCCTGTCCACATTGGAGCAGACTGCTGCATATACATCTGTTGCTGGATCAAGGAACGCATGCAGGATAAATCAGGTGCATTTTGGGATCTGTGTGCTCATATTCCCACTAAGCTATTCAAACAAGTTAGCACACAATTAGAGTCCTGGCTCTGGAGTTCCATAATTCCCAGTAAGTGCTGAGATATTTCCTTTCGTATCAAGGAAGACTAAGATTTTATCCCCTTTATACCACATCGCAGGGGAAATGCTAGACATTTAAGTTTTCTCTGTTTATAAGAGAAAAGGAAGGAAAATATTTCACTCGTAACAAATAGTTACAAAAATTTATCCTGACTCAGATGCATTTGTACCAAGCAGTACACTTCATTACTTTCAGTGTCTGGAACTCTTAGCTTCACTTTCAGGCAAATTTAAAAGCTTTCTTTATCAACATTACTTTTAGACAGTCGCATATTGTAAGCTTCTTTTTCAGTAGCATAAAATAATGCTAGTTTCTTGAAAAGTAAAAGGGTGAATATGGAGGCCAAAGTAATCCTGCTTCAAAGTATAGGGAAAAAATGCCAACACTTTGCAATTGATGTAAACAGCCACACTTTAAAAGCCTTCATTTTCCTATATCTGATCATATTAAAAACAATACTCTCAATTATAAATGAATATGTTAATCAGAAACCATTGTTCTAAATGGTTATAGACTGGCATATAAAGCAGACTAGCATCCAGTGGCATATAAAAATTCAAAACGTTCCCAGGTTTATAGAGCCCATTTAAACAACAATATAATTGTTTAAATGGTGAGATTTCCATACAAAATTATTATTATTATTATTATTATTATTATTATTATTATTATTATTATTATTATTTCTATACCGCCCCTCTCCCGAAGGACTCGGGGCGGTGTACAGCCTATTAAAACAAAAAATATACAAATATCAAAATTTAAAATTTAAATATCAACATTTAAATTCGCCGTGCGGATCTGGATGCGGAGAAGCAGGCTCCGACTCAACCCTTCCAAGACAAAGTGGCTGTGGCTGCCAGCGTTCCGATATAACCAGCTGATACCATCGTTGACTATTGGGGGCGAAACATTGGCCCCCACGGAGAGGGCTCGCAACTTGGGTGTCCTCCTGGACACGCGGCTGTCTTTAGAAGAGCATATGACGGCCGTGGCCAGGAGAGCTTTCTATCAGGTCTGCCTGATTCACCAGTTGCGACCCTTTCTGGATCGGGACTCCTTATGCACAGTCACTCATGCCCTCGTCACTTCTCAACTGGACTACTGTAATGCTGTCTACGTGGGGCTCCCCTTGTGCACGCGGAGGCTCCAACTGGTCCAGAATGCGGCCGCGCGGGTGATATTGGGAGAGACATGGCGCTCACATGTAACACCTCTCCTATACGAGCTGCACTGGCTCCCAGTGGCCTTCGGAGTGCGCTTCAAGGTGTTGGTTCTTACCTTTAAAGTGCTCTATGGCTTAGGACCTGGGTACCTATGAGACCACCTTCTGCAACCGATAACCTCCCACCAACCAGTACGCTCCCACAGAGTGCCTTCTCGGTACGCTCCCACAGAGTGCCTTCTCAGGGTACCATCACTAAAGCAATGTCGACTGGTGGTTCCCAGGGGGAGAGCCTTCTCTGTGGGGGCACTTACCCTTTGGAACAGGATACCCCCAGGGATACGAATGATCCCAGATCATTTTCCGTCGTGCACTTAAGACCTTTCTGTTTCACCAAGCCAGGCTGGCATAAATTTTTCTAGTTGTCTAAATTTTATTCTGAAGATCTTAAC